TTTTGAACCCAACCCAGCCTCTCTTTCATGAGCGCCCTGCCAAATCACCAAGAGTGTGGCGAACATGAGCACCTTCACAACTGATCAATTTGTTGGGTGTTGGGCGCCAACCAATGGTGAACAAGCCTTCGGAGCGTTCAAGCGCTGGAGGCGCCACATGAGGAGATCAACATCCAACATGGCTTCAGCAAGCACTGTTTGTTGGGTCACAAAGCTCGGGCCAACCAGTCTGCAGAAGAGCGGCTGCAAACCACATGCCAGTTTCAAGGACGCCCTCTCACAAAGTTTCAAAAACCAACATCGAACGAACTTTCAATTCAGCATCAAGCGAAGGTGACACACAGCCCCGTCAAGCTCTCAACCGTCTCAACCTGCAACGTGAAACAAACGTGGCGAGGAGGCGGTTCTCTCTCGAGTAATCCCACTTGGCAGCCCAGGCCAGGCCCTTGAAGCTCGGCATCGACCTGAGCAGAGGCAGAACGGCGAGCGAGCGAGGGTAGAGGGGTGAGGGTTGTTCGGAAAAGCTGCTGCACCGGGTGCTGCACAACGCAAGGCCGCCCAACTCAAAACATAGCTCACTCGATCTGTTTCTTTTGGTCCACACAAGTCGCTTCGTGTTTCACGCGCACGAAGGGCGCTAGAACTTTGTTGGTCAATACCCCATGAACCCTTCGCATACGGTGAGCTAAGCCTGCGTAAGATCGGAACGCTTCATTTGAAAGCTGAGTTTTTTGAACGGCGTTGCGCTCAACAGAAGTGAAAAAGACCATACACAGGCAAGCGCTAACCTTGTGAAGGAAACCCTAAGAATCCAAAGCTACCAATCCCCGGACACACAGATTTCGTGTGTGTCGCGCAGCTCAAGCATTCTGTTCCGTCCCCTCGGCATTTTGAGCCTCCTGGCATGCCTGGACCAAACGTTGAAACGAAATGGCACCATTGTGCTTCGCCCTTGCGCACTCAAGCTGAAACTCATCATCTTCTTTGGCGGGCATCTCGTTTTGCTGGTCAATCCAGGTCGCCTGGGCAAAGCAGGTGTTCAAACAGAGCTTAGCCAGTGCAAAATTTAGAAACAAACATTTACAACAACATGTCTTGTTCAGGTGTTTGAGGTGTATGCCCACCCCATGTCAGCGATTGGAACGCGCTGTTCCAGCAAAGGCTCCACTAGGTTGGTGCAGCTCATAGCACAGCTGAGGGAGATTGCGTAATTGGACATCCCAAATGAGAGGCTGCAAATTTGCTCGTTGGTCCCATGCACGCGAAGCCCCACCTGCGCTCGTGTCCAGTACACATTGACGTAGGTGCGGACCCACGAAGTTGGCGCCAAGTGCTCCTTAAGCTGGGTGAAGGTCAACTTGTCGGCCACTTTGGCCAAGTCGTTTTCAACGATCTCTCGGATGACGGGGCAGTCCAGTTCGTTCGGGGTGAACGCGGGTGGTCTGAAGACGGGTCGGGCTCTCCTCTTCGGTGCTTCGTTGGTTGTTGTTGGCTCCACGGCTGGCTGAGTGTCAGTAGGCATTGCCTTTGCTTTGGCCTTTGCTTTGCTCTTGCTCTTAGCCTTGGGCTTGGGCGCGGGCGTCGCATTGGCTGGGGCCTCTGGCAACGGCTGTGCGTTTTCTGCAACGTGTTGCGGCTCAGCATTTCCTTCGCTCGGTTCTTGGGCAGGCAAGGCATGCGACTCAGGTGGGATAGCAGTGGCAGGTCGGAACTTCTTGCACTGCCGGAGTTTTGGCGGCTGGCTGGCAGAACGCTTCTTATTTGGTTGGCTGCTGGTTGGCTCACCTTGGCTTCTGGTCGGGTCCACTTCGGATTTTGCAGCTCGCTTGTCTTCCTTGTTTGCCTTGTCTTTCTGTTTTGGCTTCATAGCAAGTTGCTCGTTCCGGGTGAGAAACTCACAATCATCCTTCAGGGGTCCGAAAGGCCGGATACTGCTTCATTGAAACTAAAAAACCACCCCTTTTTGTCAATTAAATTGCAAATTCAAGCACCTTGATTGGGAACTGCACACTTCTATCATTCCTCAAAGACCTCTAAAGGACACCCCTTTCGCCCAAAAACGGACCTTCAGCGCATCGACCTGCTCGCCCACCTTGGCCTGATCCACAGGCTCTGGCGCACCTGACAAACCAGTCAGCTGCTTTCCAGCCGGAGCCACAGCAGCAGGGCTGGGGAGGGTCCAGGGCTGCGTCTCTGCGTTGTCCAGGATGGTAGCACCTGTTGGGTGGCTCAAGATCCCGTCAACGTTTGTCATGGTTTACGGACGTTTCACCCCTGCTAACAAACTCACTTCCAAATCCGGGCATTGTTTTTGAAGGTGGTCTGGGAGGGAAAGGCCACCCCAAGAAAAGAGGTCACACACTCCCAATTTATTTATTGCATTGACGCGGCAACTGCAAGTGCCTGCGGGCTCTGGTTGGCTCCACACAGGGCTCTGCTGCCGCTTCATCTCCTGCGCCACTTTGGCTCGCCTGGGTTTGGTTGAAGCCGCCGAGCAATTGAGGGTGACAACAATTTGCCTGCAACCTTTTAGGCCAGAGGTCTTGTCCATTTGCGGGAAAGGGGCCCCAAAGCCTGTTGCAGCTGGCGTTGCATCGCAGCCTTGAGTTCCGCAACCTTCTCGCATTTACCTTGGCCAGGAGTGGGCAATTGGATGTGTGCAAAAGTAACCAAGGGAGTTGGCAAAATCCACATTGAGTGCGGCTTGAATTTCCAAAGAAACTCAAAGCTTGGAGTTGCTTGTCTTAATTTCAATAAGAGACATGGGGTTGCCCAATCTCCGCAGCTCACGCAGCTCACACGAGGTGGCGGGGTGCTCACTGCCTCTGGCTGCACTGGTGTGGAAGAGGACGGTGGGCTCTTGGCCGGGGCTGGGGCCGGCGGGGTTTTGGTGGTCGAGGCCAACCAGGCCAAAAAAGACTCGCGGTCATCCGGCGAGAACTCATCCTCAGCCTCTTTGGCAGCTGCCTGTGGGGCGTGAATCTAGAATGCCCCTTGAAATCGGTTGAAAGTTTCAAACCTTGCCTCATCATCATCTTCATCCTTGACAGCAGAACCCAAATACTCATCAATGTGCTCCTCCCAAACAACTTGGCAGATTGCTGTAATTGACCCACTGGTCAACTAACAATGTTTGAAAAAAACAAGCCAGACTCAAGTAGCCCGTATCCTTCAGCTCGGGATCTAGGAGGAGAAGCAGCTCGTGGAAACGAACATCCTGAACAGGGCACACCCAAGGACCTTTCCTAAGAAACTCCAATTCTAGACCATGAAGCAAAAACGTACAAACAGACCCTGCCTTCGTGACTTCTTTCCTCATAACTTTCCGCTTCAGAAACCCTAGCATCTTTCGAACCCCCCAAGCAGACTTGTAAATCTCTTTGGCGTTCGCGTCCGCCCCGATCATCTCAAACAAGAGAGCGATCTCCCGCTGGAGGGGCGCCAAGTAGGGCACCTTGCGAGCTGGGTACTCTGCAAACTTGCGAATGACAGGGGTGAGCGCATCAAGATTGGCCACCGCGTTCTTCCTGTTGGGCTCGCACCATTTCTGGCTAGGAGGGTGAACCAGCAAAGTGCCAGTTTCACGCACCTTTGTCCGAACGGAGGGAACGCCATCCCAAAGAAGGTGCAGACCTTTGACATCCATGGCTCCGGAAACAGAACAGTTCGCTGAACCACTTGAGCTGCGACCGCTCAGGATGTTTGGGTCAAACTTGCCACTTCAACATTAATGTGACCAGGCATCACGCGCCACGATGCAAACGTGTCAGGACCGCACGCTGGGCAGCAACGACCAACCAGCGGGGCAAAAAAGCTGAGCATGCGGCAGGTCGGTGCACGGTCACAAGGCCGCGCAGATTGCGAGGCGTTCCATTGGCGCTACAACATGTGTTGAAATCAGAAAGCTATTTCTTATGAGCAATGTCTTACGTGTTAATTTATACTGACATGTGAACTGAAAAAGCGATGCCTTGCTTTTTGCATCGAACTCCACAATTCTCATGTGGCGCTCTGGCGCTTGATGCCACGAGCTTGCTCGTTGCGCCCTTGCCCAAAGCAAGAACCCTTGTTGGGATTTTTGGGGAAACCCAAATCAGGCAACGCTTTCCTTGGTTTCCCCAAAGCGGCGCCCTCAAAAAGTCAAAGGTCACAGATTCCCTCAAACGCAATTTGTCGAATGAAGCCAGCTCACTTGCAGGGGTGGATTACTGGCATCTTCGCGGTTGTTTTTGTTTGCGGCGATCAAGAAGGGAGCCGAAGAAAACCTGATTCAGACAGGAATCTCTTTTGATTTTGCTGCGGTTGTCGTCAAGTTTGCCGCGCTGACCCAAACCAAAGCTGACTCATGGGAAATAGGCACAAGGCAAAAAGGGAAAATTGACACCCTCCCTCTACTAGGGCCTTTTGTGCGTCATATCATTTTTTGGACTCACAATGAATCATCAAAGGTGTCAATCGCCCACCTCTACAAACGGGAGTTGGAGATGCAAATGTTTGAATGAGCTCCCTATCAAGGAAGAACGGGCCACGCGATGCGCCCTCCAGGCATATGTTTGTCTTTTCGTTTGGTCATGGCAAAAAAAGCGATGGCAGTCGTGAGAAGTTCGTTTCAAACCAAGTAAGGGGGAACACATTATAATTTATAACGCATAGCAGGTTCTCTGACAAGTTCCCAAGAGACTTCCGGACAAACATGCGCGTGAGCCACAAGCACACTGAAACCTTTCAAGAAGCCCCGCCCGCACTGTGACCAAACCACCCCAGAACGAACAAGCCACTATAGAAACGAAGGGGGGGGTGAAACAGCTGCACAACCGATTGTTAACCCATTGAAGTGTGCCCAAACGAGCAAAAAGAAGGTAAAAACGAAAAAAACAGGTTTTTCCTTCTAAACCTAGGTTTTGAGCAAGCTTGAGCCAAAAACCTGGTTTTTTTTCCTCGACCTGCAAAATGGCAGGTTTTTGGAGTAGAAGGTGATCCCCCCCCTGCAATCCCGGAAGGAGCGCCGATGGCTTGCGGTCTCTCTTGTATGCGCCGTTGGACAGCTCGATTGACCAATTGCATCTACAGCCCACAGGAGGCAGTGCCGTGAATGAGCGCGTCATAAACACGCTTCTGACTTTTGAGCCTGGTCAATCCAAAGGTTTTGACACATGATTTGGTTGCTAGGTTTGCCGGGGCCACGCACATGTCTGGCCACGCTCCCCTGTCGCAAAGTCGCAGGATTTTTGCTTGGTGGTCAACATTGGTCAAATTTAGATACTTGTTTGTGCAGGCGCGCCCCGTCGCAGATTTTGCTGTGCGCAGAAACGACGGGTGGCAGTAGCTTCAACCAATTCGGCGGCGACGGTTTGTCGTGGCATTGCAAAAGTCCTCTTCGCAGCGGAGAAAAGAATGGAGCCCTGCGTGCCGCGAATTGTTTGAGGCACGAATCTATAGAGAAGACAGGAAAAGCAGACATGCTGTAAGACAAATCGAGGCGAATACGCAGCCATTTTCTCACCTGCATCTCCAAAATCTCTTTGTGCCCAAAGCGCTCATGTTCACTACGCTCATGGTGTTGGAGCTAGCCCTTGGCACGGGGCTAGCTGCACCTGTGGTCGAGGACTTACACCTTCTGCAGCGACGTGCCGGGAAGCTGAGCACAGAGCTGATCGCAGAGGTCGTGCCCCAAGGCCGGGTTAGAGGCAACGCGAGGGAAACGCCACACCATTCTGAAGGCTTTTGAGGTATTGGCTGTTTGCTTGGTCCCTGTCAACCACACAGCCAAGCCCACGTTGAATGATGGGGTCCTGTCGTCTGCTTCCGATGTAGTAGTTTTTCGTGAGACCGTGAGGCCTAGTTGCGGCCGACCAGCTTGACGTGAAAGCAGTCGAGGCAGCTCACGAAGAGGCCACACATGTGACCACACCGTGCCAAAGCAAAGAGAATTGCTCACAGTGCATTGTGGCAACAGTCCTCGACGTGTTTGACGTGCTGCAGAGCACCTCAGACCTCTCACCCATGAACGCGAAAGTGGACAAGGCCTTGACTGCTTTGGTGTCTATGGTGCTGGTGCCTCAGCCAACTGCGGTGGTCACTGCTGCGCTTGAAGATGCGCAAGTGCGGGCGATCAAGAAGCCATTGTGGCACTACCTGTCCGAGGCGGAGTACGAGATGGAAAGTTGGTGGGCTCGCAGATTTCTGGCAGAGCATGTGACCATGGAGGGCACAAGCGCTTTCTGGTACAGAGAAAACTACAAAGAACTCACTGCGCTGGAGCTTGCACATTTGCAGCAAGTTGGGCATCGGCCGAGTGCAAGCGACCACGTTGTGTTTGTCGGTGGCGGTCCACTGCCTTTTAGCGCCATCGAGTACATGCTGCAGAGCGGCGCAAAGATCACCGTTGTTGAGCAGAACCCTTGGGCTGCACAACTCTCAACAGTATTGATCAAGCAGCTGGGATTGAAGAATGTAGCGGTAGAGTATGCCTCAGGTGAGCGGTTTGACTACAAAGGTGCCACGCACTTGATCGTTGCCGCACTTGTGCGGCATGACGATGCAGTCATTCGCCGGGCGATGGACACGGCTGACTTGCGCATGATTGGAGTGAGGCCGGCTGGGGGGACTTTGGGTTTCTGTAAGAGCGAAGACAAATCGAACCAAATCAAATGTTCCCCCCCCTGCAATCCCGGAAGGAGCGCCGATGGCTTGCGGTCTCTCTTGTATGCGCCGTTGGACAGCTCGATTGACCAATTGCATCTACAGCCCACAGGAGGCAGTGCCGTGAATGAGCGCGTCATAAACACGCTTCTGACTTTTGAGCCTGGTCAATCCAGGGGTTTTGACACATGATTTGGTTGCTAGGTTTGTCGGGGCCACGCACATGTCTGGCCACGCTCCCCTGTCGCAAAGTCGCAGGATTTTTGCTCGGTTCCTTGACTGAGGATAAACGAGGGGTGGTCAACATTGGTCAAATTTAGATACCTTTTTGGTGCAGGCGCGCCCCGTCGCAGATTTTGCTGTGCGCAGAAACGAGGGGTGGCAGTAGCTTCAGCCAATTCGGCGGCGACGGTTTGTCGTGGCATTGCAAAAGTCCTCTTCGCAGCGGAGAAAAGAATGGAGCCCTGCGTGCCGCGAATTGTTTGAGGCACGAATCTATAGAGAAGACAGGAAAAGCAGACATGCTGTAAGACAAATCGAGGCGAATACGCAGCCATTTTCTCACCTGCATCTCCAAAATCTCTTTGTGCCCAAAGCGCTCATGTTCACTACGCTCATGGTGTTGGAGCTAGCCCTTGGCACGGGGCTAGCTGCACCTGTGGTCGAGGACTTACACCTTCTGCAGCGACGTGCCGGGAAGCTGAGCACAGAGCTGATCGCAGAGGTCGTGCCCCAAGGCCGGGTTAGAGGCAACGCGAGGGAAACGCCACACCATTCTGAAGGCTTTTGAGGTATTGGCTGTTTGCTTGGTCCCTGTCAACCACACAGCCAAGCCCACGTTGAATGATGGGGTCCTGTCGTCTGCTTCCGATGTAGTAGTTTTTCGTGAGACCGTGAGGCCTAGTTGCGGCCGACCAGCTTGACGTGAAAGCAGTCGAGGCAGCTCACGAAGAGGCCACACATGTGACCACACCGTGCCAAAGCAAAGAGAATTGCTCGCAGTGCATTGTGGCAACAGTCCTCGACGTGTTTGACGTGCTGCAGAGCACCTCAGACCTCTCACCCATGAACGCGAAAGTGGACAAGGCCTTGACTGCTTTGGTGTCTATGGTGCTGGTGCCTCAGCCAACTGCGGTGGTCACTGCTGCGCTTGAAGATGCGCAAGTGCGGGCGATCAAGAAGCCATTGTGGCACTACCTGTCCGAGGCGGAGTACGAGATGGAAAGTTGGTGGGCTCGCAGATTTCTGGCAGAGCATGTGACCATGGAGGGCACAAGCGCTTTCTGGTACAGAGAAAACTACAAAGAACTCACTGCGCTGGAGCTTGCACATTTGCAGCAAGTTGGGCATCGGCCGAGTGCAAGCGACCACGTTGTGTTTGTCGGTGGCGGTCCACTGCCTTTTAGCGCCATCGAGTACATGCTGCAGAGCGGCGCAAAGATCACCGTTGTTGAGCAGAACCCTTGGGCTGTACAACTCTCAACAGTATTGATCAAGCAGCTGGGATTGAAGAATGTAGCGGTAGAGTATGCCTCAGGTGAGCGGTTTGACTACAAAGGTGCCACGCACTTGATCGTTGCCGCACTTGTGCGGCATGACGATGCGGTCATTCGCCGGGCGATGGACACGGCTGACTTGCGCATGATTGGAGTGAGGCCGGCTGGGGTGGCATGTGTTGGGCTTTAACGTATTCTTACGATGATGCGGATGGACGAAGACAAATCGAACCAAATCAAATGTCCCCCCCCCTGCAATCCCGGAAGGAGCGCCGATGGCTTGCGGTCTCTCTTGTATGCGCCGTTGGACAGCTCGATTGACCAATTGCATCTACAGCCCACAGGAGGCAGTGCCGTGAATGAGCGCGTCATAAACACGCTTCTGACTTTTGAGCCTGGTCAATCCAGGGGTTTTGACACCTGATTTGGTTGCTAGGTTTCATGCACATGTCTGGCCACGCTCCCCTGCCGCAAAGTCGCAGGATTTTTGCTCGGTTCCTTGACTGAGGATAAACGAGGGGTGGTCAACATTGGTCAAATTTAGATACCTTTTTGGTGCAGGTGCCCCCCGTCGCAGATTTTGCTGTGCGGAGAAACGAGGGGTGGCAGTAGCTTCAGCCAATTCGGCGGCGACGGTTTGTCGTGGCATTGCAAAAGTCCTCTTCGCAGCGGAGAAAAGAATGGAGCCCTGCGTGCCGCGAATTGTTTGAGGCACGAATCTATAGAGAAGACAGGAAAAGCAGACATGCTGTAAGACAAACCGAGGCGAATACGCAGCCATTTTCTCACCTGCATCTCCAAAATCTCTTTGTGCCCAAAGCGCTCATGTTCACTACGCTCATGGTGTTGGAGCTAGCCCTTGGCACGGGGCTAGCTGCACCTGTGGTCGAGGACTTACACCTTCTGCAGCGACGTGCCGGGAAGCTGAGCACAGAGCTGATCGCAGAGGTCGTGCCCCAAGGCCGGGTTAGAGGCAACGCGAGGGAAACGCCACACCATTCTGAAGGCTTTTGAGGTATTGGCTGTTTGCTTGGTCCCTGTCAACCACACAGCCAAGATGGGGTCCTATCGTCTGCTGCTGGCTGGGATGGCATGTGTTGGGGCTTCAACGTATTCTTGCCATGACGGAAGATGCGGATGGACTTTGGGTTTCTGTAAGAGCGAAGACAAATCGAACCAAATCAAATGTTCCCCCGCTGCAATCCCGGAAAGAGCGCCGATGGCTTGCGGTCTCTCTTGTATGCACCGTTGGACAACTCGATTGACCAATTGCATCTACAGCCCACTGCAGGCAGTGCCGTGAATGAGCGCGTCAGAAACAGGCTTCTGACTTTTGAGCCTGGTCAAGCCAAATGTTTTGATAACTACATGATTTGGTTGCTAGGCTTGCCGGGGCCACGCACATGTCTGGCCACGCTCCCCTGTCGCAAAGTCGCAGGAGTTTTGCTCGGTTCCCGGTTCCTTCGCTGAGGATCAACGAGGGGTGGTCAACATTGAACATGCAAAAACAGTGCAAAACAAACATCTGTCTTAGGCCCAAGTCCAAGCGAGCATGGCGCCTCACTTGCCCATGGAGTCTTCGGACTCCATGGAGGATGAAGGGAAGTCTCGCTGGGACAAGCAGAAGCTTCTGGTCCCTCTCGTGTTTCTGACGTATGTCATCACCAAAGCCTTGGACCGGGTTTTCATCTACCGGGTACAGAAGTCGATGGCCCATTACAGCACTATCCTCATGAGCATTTACTGGCCTCCGGGTGTTTGCTTGGCATGTTTTTGCTTTCTCTTCTTTCTGAATGGATCCAAGAGCCTTCTCGGAATGAGGGGAAAAGATGAGAAGGAAGCATTTGAGCCGCTGGGTCTCGGGTGGTTCTCGCCCTTCAGCGAGTTTGCTTCAGCGCAGGGTCGCGTTCCACAGGCGTGGTTTGCCCTGATCGGCTTTCTGGACCAGATCAATGCCACCTTCTCGGCGCCCCCGTCAGTCTACATCCCAGTGGTTTTGCAGACGCCGCTGAATAACCTGGTGGTTGGTTGGGTGATGCTCATTTCCCTTTTCTATTTGAAGATGTCCTTCAGAACGGTCCACTACGCAGGTGTGATCCTCATTTTGTGCTCTTGCATTGTTGGTGAGCTGGTTGAGCTGCAGGGGCCACCTGATTTGGTTTGCAACGGCCTTGACACTGCCAAAGAAATTTTCTCAGACAACAGCTTGCCGATCCCTCACCAAGCAAGATGGACCGTGGGCAATGCCACAGAGAAGTGTGTGCGGGGCTTGCCTCCATACAAGGGTAGCGATGGTCAGGTTATTTATGTGCCTTTTGGCACCATAGCCTCAATGTATTTGCTCTTCATTGGCACCGTGATTCCATATGCCTTCGTGTATGTGTACAAGCAGAAGAAGCTAAAGCAAGTGAACCTGGATGTGGCCTGGGCCTTTTTCTGGCAGAGCGCGTGGCAGGTTTTGTGGGGCCTGGTTTTCATCCCGGCGTGCTGGATCCCATGGCCCACGCCCAGTGGCCCCAACGAGGCCTCCTTCTCCACCTTTGGTCAGGACCTCGCCGACTCCTGGACCTGCTTCATGGGCCGCAACCCGCATCCAGAGATCACCTCCTGCTGCAGAGCCGGCCTGGGCTTGGTTCAGCATTTACCTGCTATTCAATGTGTTCTTCAACCTGTGCCTCATGTGGCTCATCAAGCGCATGTCCAGCACTTGGGCCGCCGTTGGTGCAATCCTTTGCGGCAACCTTGGCGGCTTCTTCAGCCAGTTTGAACTCTTTGGGGGCAAGTCAGCGCAGCCGCTCTCAATGGAGCAGTGGATGGCGCTCATCCTCTCTTCAATCGCCATGTGGGTCTACAACATCGAGGACAGGGCTCGAGTGTCAGTGGCCGGTCAGTGGCTGTGTGTTACAGTGCCGATTCTAGGCAGGGTTGTGGTGGGATTCTGGAGCGCAGTCCCGTAGACACACCTGTTTTGACCTGCCAGTCAGTTGTATCTGGATGCCGTTGGTAGCAGTTGCAGTGGTCGTTCCAGTTGCGCCTTCCCTTCTTTCCAAGGGTTTTGTAGTCATTGATGTGGGCAATAGTGAGATGACGTCGTCGATGCCGCCAATGTCGCCGGTTCGATTTGCGTTGTCCATTGATGGCAGTTTGTAGTACTGGTACCATCCCGTTCGTGGTCGTGCCATTCATAGTCATTTCATTCGCTGTGATCCTGCTGATCTTGTCCTTGATCTTCGCAGTGCCAATTCCGAGTGTTGTAGTTGTCCTTGTTGTGCTGTTGCTGGAGGTCCTTCTTATACCTTCCATAATATGTTAGCTCCGCAGTCTCTTTCCAAGTGTCCAATCTCTCCACCTCTGTAGCACGCTACTGCTGTGGTGTCCTTTCTTCTTCGCTGGTGCATTCGCCTTTGTTGCTGTTTTAGCTGCCGTTGTTGTCGCAGCCTTGGCCGATCCATGGCCTTTGCCTTGCTGTATCCTTTGCCTTGATTGTCCTTTGTAGCCATTGCTGTTGCCACATATTGTAACTTTGCTCCTGCAGTGATCTTGTCCTTGTCCTTTGTCGATTCCTTTCCCTTCGTGTTTGCCTTGGTGGTTTCCTTTGCGCCCAATGTTGACTGCATCCGATGGCAGTTCGTAGCAAATTCGCCTTGGCCGTGAGCCGTCAGTGGTTCCCGTAGGGATGCTTCCCCTCCTCTCCCCCAGGGACCTCTACCCGCTTTTGGTGCAGCAACGGAGATTTCACGCGCTGGGGCTTGACGGGCACGAAAGTAGGTCCCTATGTCACGGTCACAATATGTCCCTGGATCTAAGAAAGCGTACGCAAGAAGGGCCTTGGGCCAAATTGAATCGTGGTCCACAAACACGACAAGTGGAACTCGGGTCGCGGAGCCCTCCCCGCAACTGCTCGCGCATCCCGGAACCCTCGCGGAACCCGCCCGTAACGACTGAACCGCTGGCCTGCCAGTCGTGTGTCAGCCCCGGCCTCTGATGGAAACACCTGCTCCGCTACGCCCGGATCTACTTCCAAGTAAAGTGTCCTCGTCCTATGGAAGGGGGAGACAGTGGACGCTGTGGCACTTAGCACGCCCTCTTCTGCATCGATACTTGAGCATGAAACACAAGAAGAGCAAACAAGGCGCAGGTGAGAAAGATTGCGTGAAGGTCAATGACGATGGAAGCACAGAACCCCCCCACCCCCCCTTCCCCTCGGCTTCTTTTTGCTTCGACCTCACCCAACGTATAAAACGCAACACAACCGATGGAGGATGAACTGGACACCAATGGCCGATCTGTCTACGGCGAAGTGATGCGGGGCGACCACCGCTACGACACGAAGGGCGACATGGGCCTCGACCCTGACTCGGACGAATTCCAGTCCGACGACGAGCTTATGGCAGAGGACCACACAACGCTGTGAGAGTCCGCGGATGCCCCAGTAGTTTTCCCAGTATTTTTCTTCCCGCATGTGGGGGTTGATCAAAGGCCCTTGCAAGGAGGTTCGTATTCAGCAAGCATTGGTGTTGGTGTAAGTTGGAGGACTAGTTTCCCAGCACTGTCTCGCTTTGCTGAAGGGATTTGTCCTGGATTTTGTCTCGTCTGGCTTCTTAGCTTTTTGGCTGTTTGGCTTCTGGACTTCTTGGCTTCTTGGCTTTTTGTTTCTTGTTTTTTTGTTGCTTGGCTTTTGGCTTCTTGGCATATTTGCATCATTCTCCAGGCTGGCTTTTTGGCCTTTGGCGAGTTGTCGTGCCTTTTCATGGCGTTTAGCATCATCAGTACCGCGCGCAGCATGACCGGCTTTTGGTGTGTTGTTTTTTTGGTTTTTGGTTGGTGGCTTCTTGGCTCCCCGGTTCCTGTCGTTTTGGCTTCGGCCTTTTGGCTTCCAAGCTTCTTGGAGCACCTTGTTTGTAACTGCGTTTTCGTCATCAATCCCTTCCCCCTCATAATAAACGCAGACCCCCCCTGAAAATAAACACTCTCTGGGGGACAAAAACAAACTATTTATAGCGTTTTGTGGGGCGAACGGAGTTCCTCTCCCGCAATTTTCCGAGTAACGAGTTTAAACAAACCCGTTCAAGCTTGCTTGCATTTTTTGCAGTTCAAAAGTGAAGGGCGCAGTTTAAACTCGGAATTGCAATTCAAGAAATAAATGTAAATTAGTAAAACGTATGTGTGCATTTAGAATTTGGTATTGGGTTGTTGCAAGGAGCCCCCGAATAAGGCTGGCGCTGGTCTGGGAGGAGACATCGGACAGTTTAGTATTGGTTTTGATTTTGGCTATTCTGAAAGTAGCATGGGGGGACCCGGCTGTTTCAGCCAGTCTGGAAATATAGTATTTATTCATAGGGTCCATTTATTAAAAGGGGGAACGGATTGGTGTCCGAATAAATATTTTAAAGAGGGGGCTGCGCCCAACCTCCTGCTTCTTTATAGGGCCGTTGCTCAGCTCTCTATTTGGGGCACCCCAACCCCGCGGTTCTTTATCGAGCCGTTTCTTGGCTTTCTCTACTCCTCTACTCGTGTCACGCGTTTTTGTATTGGGGGGGCTCGCCCCCCCACCCCGCCTCTTTTGTGGGCCGTTTTTCAGCTGCGTGGTCCTTCTGTGCAATCTCGCGCTTTCTCCATTTGTGTCCTTATTTGTCGGGAATGCGTTTTTTCCGGAAATAGAAGCATTGATCAACTGCCATGTGAGAATAAGATTGGGTTTGCATGAGGGGTGGCTTTCGATCGATTTGCGCCGCAATAAAAGGCCGCTGCGCCGCACTGTCTCAGGAAAACTTCTTGCCCGCTGCCTCGCTGTGACTGGTGAGTGCGTGCTCAGCAATCCCAAGCTTAGGTGCGTTTGGCCCAAGATTGATTAACCGTGCGTGCTGTGACTTCGGAATGATACTGAGGTGGTCCAGTTTTCAGCAAATCAGACGGGAAGGTTGCCAACTTCAAGAGAGCCACAATCAAAACCTGGGTAGATGAAGGTTAGTAAGGGGCAGTCCCAGCCAGAAATAGTTGCGCCTGCCTTTCTAATTCTTTACATGGTTCTGGGTTCACCATTTTTGTACCAGGTTTTGATTGTGACTCAAGAGAGCTTCTAACTTAGCATGCCGTAGTGTTGCGCGCGCGCCCAGATTCCGCAATGGCCCGCGCAGTACGCGAGCTTACGGAATCAGATTCTGATACCTTTGAAAGGCCGAGCGCCGACAAGAGCCAGAAAGGTGGCGGGGCAAAGAAGGTTGCAGTGGCTGTGTTCGTTGTCTATTTGGTCACGAGGGGCCTCGCTACAGTCTTGATATACAGGGTCTCTAAAGCAATGGCGCAGTACACCACCATTCTCATGAGCATCTATTGGCCCCTGGGCATCGTGCTTTGGAGCTTCATGCTTTGCGCCCTGAGAAACTCAAGACTCTTCAGTTCAAGCCCCGTTGGGCTCAGCTGGTTCTCTCCCTGGAGTGAGAACGCCTCAGCACAGGGGCGTGTGCCCCAGCACTGGTTTCTGCTGATCGCCTTCTTCAACCAACTCTGTGCGACATTCTCCGCGCCGCCGACTCCTTTTATTCCTGTCGTGCTGCAAACACCTCTTGCCAATCTCGTGGCTTTGTGGACAGCAATCATTTCCTACATCTTCCTGAAGACCCGCTTCAAGATGGTCCACTACGCAGGAATCTCTCTCATTCTGTATTCATGTGTGGTGTCAGTACTGGTGGAGTTGCAGGGACCTGCGGAGGAGGTCTGTCAAGGGCTCGACATTGCCGCGGGGACCATGGGCAAGCTGCCACTCTCCAATCTGATCAGCTCGGAAGCCCTGTGGATTGTGAACAATTCCACCGAGCACTGCGTCATAGGCTTGCCCCCTTACAAGGACACCACCGGCCGAACCCTGCAAATCCCATTGAAGATCCTTGTCTCCATGTACACGTTCTACACATTGTCCCAAGTTCCTTTCGCTTTTGTGAATGTCTACAAGCAGAAGAAGCTAAAGCAAGTGGACCTGGATGTGGCCTGGGCCTTTTGGTGGCAGTGTGCGTGGCAGGTTTTGTGGGGCCTGGTTTTCATCCCAGCGTGCTGGATCCCATGGCCCACGCCCAGTGGCCACAACGAGGCCTCCTTCTCCACCTTTGGTCAGGACCTCGCCGACTCCTGGACCTGCTTCATGGGCCGCAACCCGCATCCAGAGATCACCTCCTGCTCTGCAGAGCCCGTTTACGGCTGGTTCGTGCTTTATTGCTTTTTCAACGTCTCCTGCAATTTGGCCCTGATGTGGCTGATCAAGCAGCTGTCAAGCACCTGGGCATCCATCGGCTCGATCCTGTGTGGAATCTGAGTGGCTTCTTCAGCCAATTCGCGGTTTTGGGCGGCAAGTCGGCGCAGGCAGTGACATTGGAGCAGTGGATGGCGCTGATTCTGTCCTCAGTAGCCCTGTGGATCTACAACGTGCAGGATGAACAGGACATCAACGGCAAGAGCGTGTACGGTGGCGAACAAGGAATCTTGCTGAAACGGAAATGGTCTATGGGGCATCCCAGACTAGAACTTGGGGCCATGTTGCTGTTTTGTGGTTGTTTTCAGCTTCCAGTCCTGGCTGCCTTTCGCCATTCCCGTTGTGGCTTCCGAATGGCAACCGTCAGGGAATAGTCACGAGATCGTATTGTTTTCCTCAACAAGCTCAACGATGGAACGCCATCGCTTGTTGGTCCACCAAAGAACCGCAACGTCTTAGGACAGATTCTGTTAGCACGTGGTTGACAAGCGAGGTCTCTAGTTTAAGCCCCTATCCCTTTTTGCGCGTTGGTATGGCTTCAGGGAATCTGGGGGCCTTGTTCTACTTTCAACCCGATGGATTGAGACCTGCCTTGCGAGTAGAGTCAAACCTATCCCATTATCCATATCCTTACCAAGACTAGCAAATGAGGCAGTTTCACTTAATCAGCTGCCGCCTTGTTTGCTTGGTCTTAAGAAGTTGTGCTCAGGAAGAGGTGACCACCGCTACGATACAAAAGGCCCAATGGGCCTCGACCCTGACTCGGACGGGTTTCAGTCCGACGACGAGCCTAGGGCAGAGGACCACACAACGCTGTGAGAGTCCGTTGATGCCCCAGTAGTTTTTTGGTTATGCGTAATATTTTAGTTGCATGAGGGGTGGCTTTTGATTGATTTGCATTGTAGCGACAGTGACACTGTTGCACAAAACGGTCTCAGGAAAATCTTGCCCGCTGCCTTCTGTTGTCAAAGGTTCGGTCCATTTTTGTAGGGGATCTTCCGGGCTGAATCTGAGTATTATGTTAACTTAGAAGCTCCCCTGAAGCTGGCAACCTTCTCGCCGGATCTGCTGACCAACCTTCATTCAAATAAAGCACGCTCAACAAAATGCCACAGAACGCAGAGTTAAACAACCTTTGTCCAACCAGACTGACTGCAGGTGCTCAACACTCACCTCAAATGTCAAGAGGTCTCGACCTGAGACAAAGCCGGCTCAAGCTGGGCAGGAATGGCTTCGCAGAACATGCCGCCAGTCTTACCTCACTCGCTGTTGGCTTTGATAGCCAAGAATGTTTCGGACAGACCGGACTTCTACCAGACCGCAATTTTGCCGCTTGCGCTGCTCACAGGAGTTTTGGGCTTTTCCGCCTTCCCCAGCTCTGCAGCGTGGCCCAACGGCTTCCCGCGCTTCGTGGCAGTCTACCTCAGCGCCTGGACGCTTTGCGTGGCTTCGGATTGGCTGCAAGGACCTTACGTCTATGCGCTCTACGAGGCCTATGGCTTCAGCCCTCACCAGATTGCGCAGCTCTTTCTGGCTGGTTTTGGGGCTGCGATGTTCTGCAGCAGCTTCGTTGGCGGACTGGCCGATCGCTATGGCCGCAAGCGTGGCTGCATTGCATACTGCTTGCTGTGCATTGTGTCCTGCGCTACGAAGCACTGGAAGAGCTACTCGATCCTCATGGTGGGGCGAATCACTGGAGGGTTCGCTCAGTCTTTGCTTTTTTCCTGCTTCGAGTGCTGGATGGTCTCTGAGCACACCGTGCGCAACCAGTTTTGTTCCAGTCTACTTCCCAGCATGTTCGGAATGAAGTTCAGCCTCATGTATCTGGTGGCGGTAATCTCGGGCTTCATTGCGCAGTGTGGCGCGGACTCATCGAGCTTTGCGCCGGTGCGCGAGAATTCGTTGTTGCATGTTGGGGGCAATCTGGTTCCTTTTGACATGGCCGCCTGTGTGCTGGTGGTCGCCTTGGCGATAATAACCATTTTCTGGGAGGAGAACTTCGGACATGCAGCACAAGCTGAAGGGATGCACTTCTGGGAGGGCCTCACCAGCATTTGCCACAGCAAGCCGCTTCTCAAACTTGGCTTGGCGACTGCCTGTTTCGAAAGTGCAATGTATTCCTTCGTGTTCAATTGGACGCCAGCCTTGGAGTCCGCAGATGAAATACCTCCCCATGGTGTCGCTTTCGCACTGATGATGATGGCTTGTATGTGTGGTGCCTCCGTTTCGAGTATGATCAATGACACCGTCTCTGATCTTCGAAGGCTGCAGCTCGTTGCTGGGATGGGTTTCGGAGCCTTCGCCGTGGCTGTTGCGGCATTGCGGCAGGGAGCAGCCCACGTCTGCTTCTGCAGCTTTCTGCTATTCGAGTTTTGTGTCGGCATCTACTTCCCGGCTGCTGGCAGTTTGAAGAGCAAGTTGGTTCCAGAGCGGCTCCGTGTCACCGTGTACAACATGTACAGGGTTCCGATGAACGCTGCAGTGGTCAGCCTGCTTCTCACGAACTTGAGCACGGGCCTTTGCTTCAGGTTTTGTTGCGCCCTCATGGGCATTCTCTTCCTGACGACGCTTGGTCTTCTCTCAGGGGACGAAGAGTCGGTGCCAGAAGGCTCAACCAAGGAGGCCAAGGCTTGCACTTGAGACTTGAGCCAATGTGCCAAGTTGATAACATCCAGGTTGTAGCAGTTCGAAGTTTTTGGCTGGCCAAGCCAAGCTTGCCCGACATTGCATCCGCTTTCCCAAATTTGGACCGCTTTACGGACCCCTTCCTTTTGCTTGTCGACGCAAAGTCGTCCAGGAAGTAAGATGAGGAACCAGGGGAGTGTAAGGGCCCTTTTCCCCAATTAATGACTTAACGAGCACCAGTAGCCCTTAATACAATAAGCGCTGAATAAACCTCAACTCGGGAATGTGGGCCCTTACACCTCTCCCTTACTTCCTAATACTTTCTTAGCTCGACTGTGACAGACTGGTTGTCACAAGTGAGGGGTGGCGCTTCGGAAAACATTTTGTTAAAGACCAAGGACCGAGATCCCAAAATAGTTGCAATTCGCAAGGGACTGGCTTTGGACTCTTTGGACATTGAGAAATTTAGGACAAAACAGACAACCCCTTCGTGGCAGTTCCACGAAACCTCTCGATCCCGGGGGGTTCCAATGCCAAGAGCGAGGCCGAGTCCGCGTTTCATACTTTTCCAGCACTTCCCCGCTTCCGCAATTTGGCTAAGAAACTGAGCGCTTCAAGTCAAGTTTCGTTTGCTTCGCTTTGAGGGCCCTTGACGTTGGGTGGAGGATGCGAGAGGCCGGCAGAGAGCCACCGTGCCGTCAGCGCCCCACAGCCAGGATCGAACATCTCACACCAGCGCAAACCACGGCAAGAGACATGCAGTTAGCATGAGCAACCGTCGCAGCCAAACCGCTAACGCGATGAACGCTCCAGCCTCCAGCTCATCAGAACCCGCATGCCATGCTTGAGATGTACTTGCTGTGCGACACGCGCGCCCTCAACCCATGCAGCACCTCACATTCTCGTTTTCGGATCACATCCGCGTGTGGATATAGCTCATGACGATCGGGTTGATGGGGCACGTGGCCGATACCAAAGCAGGGCGGGGCACCGTCGGCACTGGCAGCGCCGCTGCCATGGACATGGCCGCAAATTGCGAATGTTGCAGTCTACGATGCGTAACGCGATTAAGAATGTGGGGGGGCCCTGGATCACTGGCTGCACTCAAGCCTGGCGGCGGCATGCTTTCTTTAAAGTATAGGTTGTGCAGAGCATGTTTCCACGCGCTTTGGCTTGTGCAATTTGAGGGTCCTGCCGCGCATCTGGATGCAAATAGTAATACCACACGCTCACATGATTCATGAATGACTGCCCATATTGCGATACTCCCCAGCCACATCCGCCTCCCATCAGCAAAGAAGAACACTGGGACTGCCTCTCGGATGCCAATCTGAAAATCTGCGACTTTCGGTTTTAATGTTCGTAAATGGCTAGCAAAATCATTGTTTGCAGCATAGCCGAATTGTAACCCCGTGCTAATCTACTAAGGTTCTAACATTGCAAGATTATCCAATTCGTTGACCAAGTAAATCTGCCAAATAGACCTCGCAAAATTGTTTTAACTAGCAAAGTCATTATTTATACATAACATAATATAACAAGTTAATATTATATAGAAACAGTATTGGAAAGTGTATTAAGTATGACAAACATATGGTATCATTGGTAATTAGCCGGTGCTGAGTAGTTAATTAGGTGGAGCGATTTTTGTTATATTTTAGATTTTTTTTTAAATTTAAACACTAATATTAAATATATATTATTTAAAGTTATAAATATTATAATTTATTTGTGTTAATATATTTTATTTTTTTTTTTTTTTTTTTTTTTTTTTTTTCAAAACGGGTAACACGAGGTTTGTATGCGTAGGCGGCGGCGTATTAGTAAGATAGATCGTATATATATAGCATATATGTTTAGATGTTTGTAAGATACTTCTAATCTTTTCTTGCTTGGGCGATGGGGTAACGGAGGAAAGAAATGCGATTGATTTAGTTCTTGCGATTCGGTATTTAATATTATTCCGTTTATTAGTAGATTTTGGGGTAATTACCGACGTAAGTAACGAATTGGATATGTTAAGTGTGTTGTGTTTGGTGATTTTCTTAGCGAAGATAAATTGAGTGATGACGAAGGAACTGGGGTGTGTTCTCGGTTGTAATGATTTGGCAATGTGAGATAGTGTTATAATATCTATATAGTCCCGTGCCATGCGTGACGGGTTGCTTATTAAAAAGGACATAATATTGTTTGTCAGGTTGGTAGCCAACGAAGACAACAAGACGGTAAGTATGTTTCTTTTCTGCCTCAGCATCAACCCTAATTAGGGGCAAGTGAGCTCGTCTAGCCGGTAATTCACGCGCGTATATGGTCTGAGGGACAACGATCAAAAGTCCTTCGGTGGTTCAAGCAGCCAGTCTAAAGCTTCACCACATCGTGCAGTATATGAGAGTATGATTAGCACCGGGCGCCAATCGCAGTGGCAAGCTCATCGGTGGAAAGCATCTAATCGAAAGGGGCCTGATCAGCGATGGCATAGGCCTATCCTCTGGCAACCATACAAAAAACATGTTATTGTATATGGCGTAAGTTAGGAGGAGCAATCGATCAGTCGGCATAAGGGCAAAATACACATGGCTGTTACATAATAACAGACAATACCTAGAAGACCTATACAGCATATCGTGCCTGCTCAGGCGTAATAACAGTGCCAATATTAATCGATATCTGCTGGAGAAATTTAATTTGTTTGGTCGACAAATTGCCATTAACAGGTTATTATATCTGAAAAAGCGGGCACAAGCTCTTCAACACGGAAGGTTTTACTACCTGCAACAACTACAGCCTTAGGCTTGCTTTGATGAGCAGGGGGACTAGTACGACACGCAACGTTTGGTGGGCGCAGTCTTGTTTTGCTGTCCAGAGCTAAGTAACTGGATGTATATTGGTGCATTCCAGACTCCAATTTAGCCATTCTGCTGTAGCGAGCATTTGAGTGTTAAACCGGTATCATCTAATATATTAACACTAAGGCCAATCTGAAAACACCCTGCCTTATTACCGGTAGGCAGATGTAGGCCCGCGCCAAGTAATTGAAGTCGAAGGGCTTGATCTTGGCCCCCGGACCATAAAGCTGCAAGACAGGCCCATGGAGCA